TCACAAAGCACATTTTGTCTGCCTGACCCCTCTGAACACACACACACACACACACACACACATACCTATACACTATAGCCGCAGAAGCCTCTCTGCTAACGTGCTCTCACACACAAGTAGAAATAGTGTCACACACCAGGAAGTTGCAATAATGTGTTTCCCATGATGAATCTGAGGGATCAAACAATATAATTATTATCCACCAGTGAAGGTGAAAGCTCATGAGGTTTATGCTTATAATAATGTGTGTGTTCATTTGCTTGTAGAGTTAGCAAAATATCCCTAGAGGCACTGGACAGATTTTAACCCTCTGGTGCATGAATTCGGAAAGCATGAATCAATTTTTTTCAGTGTCTTTTTTTTTTTTATTAGGACATGAAAATAATAAAAATAACATTTCTGAGAGTTACACACACGTCCACTCCAATGGACTACATGCACATGAGCACTCTGTAATGTGCTGTGTACTTTGTATATTACTGTGGAGTTCTTCAAATATGTGCTGTATGAAAGTTGGCTTTGTTTTATTATTGAACATTTTATTTTAATAAGTAGTCAATTACAAATAAAATGTGTACACTGACACCATGCAAGGTCAGTTATGTTTCCAACATGAGTTATGTATTGGCGACGCCTTTTTTGTGGCTGTTTTGCTTGTAAATCATTATATTTTTTACTACTTTTGTTGAGTATTGCACACTACCCTGATCTTAAACTGAGGAGCTTATCAATGTTCCTGACTGGAAAGTATAGTTTAAAAAGTATAGTTATCCCCAAAGTGTAGGTAATGAATAATTTAATAGTATCCAGACACAGTGTTTTTAATAAATCTAAGACAAAGGTCATCCTCACTAGACCAGTACATTCTGTTAACAAATACACCTATGATCATGTTAATCTCTAAAAAATCCTGCATTTCTTCTCTTGTCATGCCAGATCTTCTCTTCCTTTCTGGAGACTGTACAGGTCGTTGTTGTGCATCGTGTCATCAATTAGATCTTTGGGAAACAAATGGTCAAAGACTGTCTACTGGCTCTTTCCCCTCGGTATTCACTTTCCACTCTCCAAGAAAAGGGAGCAAATCTCCATTAAAGTGGTTGTCTTAGACTTTTCACACTTTATGTGAGCTGCGAGGAACCATGTGCATATCTTCCACAGCTCGCTCATCAAGCTGCTCTCCCTCTGCATCCTGGCCTTCATCAACCTGACTGTTACCCTGACTGTTTTTATCTTCACTCAGACTTCATCATCCTCAGACTCTATGTCTCGACAGTTCTCTGGCAGCCATTCTTCATCACTGCTGTCATTCTAATCATCATCAGAGTCAGAGGGAATTTCCTTGACTATTCTATAGGTTTCCCTATTTTTTGCTGCACTTGCTTTGTACAAAAAAGATCAGTGTTTCTCACACATTCTGCAACTAATCTGCACAGCATTATCTATTTTCAAATGAATGTTTTTTTCTAAATGGAGGAAAACAATACACAGATTTACAACTAAAGCAATCACAATATTTGCTTTCTACAAAATGATAAGCTTGCACAAATCTAGACAAGACTATATGTTTCTATATTTCTAAGTAAACTCTTTAATCCTCTACTCTGATAATCTATGACCAAAACAGTGAGAATAAAAGATTAAACAATTACATTACTTGAGTTAGAAACATAGAAACATACCTAAAGATGCATGATGTCCATAGTGGACACATGTTTGCATGCAGTTTACTCATTTAAAATAAAAATGTCAAAAGTTTAAAAAAAAAAAAA